TAGATGTCCCCTGAGACCATGGTCCCCAGCCCTTAGCCCCAGTAACTCGGTCCCTCAAGGTGTTTTGATATGTTTAGAAAGCTTCTATGACTTTGCCTTGGTCAAGTTGTGTTGACTCCCCCTATATTGTGTGTTGTATTTACCTTTACCAAAGTTAGTACTTGTCTACTATCTAGTTAGTGATTTCCCCTCCACCCTTCCCCTCCCGTGTAACCATTGAAGATTGTTTTTTTCTGTGTAAAACTTTTCTTTGGTTTTTATAATAGTGGTCTCATACAATACTTGTCCTTTTGTGATTGACTTATTTCACTCAGCATAATGCTCTCCAGATTCACCCATGTTGTGAGATGTTTTGTGGATTCATCGTTGTTCTTTATCATTGTGTAATATTCCATTGTGAGTATGCACCACAATTTGTTTATCCATTCATATATTGGTGCTCACTTAGGTTGTTTCCATCTTTTTGTTATTGTGAATAATGCTGCAATGAACATGAATGTGCCTAGGTATATTCGTTTGATGGCTCTTATTTCTCTAGAAGATATTCCTAGGAGTGGGATTGCTGGATTGTATAGGTTGCTATGAGTTGGAATCGACTCAATGGCAACAGATTTTTTTTTTTTTTTGGTTTATGGTATTTCTATTTCTAGCTTTTTAAGTAGGCACCATATTGTTTTCTATAGTGGTTGTACCATTTTATATCCCACCAGCAGTGCATGAGAGTTCAATCTCCCTGCAACCTCTCCAACAATTTGTTATTTTCTATTTTTTTGATTAGTGCCAGTAGTGTCAGGGTAAGATGATATCTCATTGCAGTTTTGTTTTGCATTTCTCTAATGGCTAATGATCACCAGCATTTATTTTTTTGTTTTAAGAAGACTTCAGGGGATATTTTTGGTTTAAGGTTTAAAGATTATCTCAGGGCAATAGTTTCAGGGGTTCATCCAAACTTCATGGCTCCAGGAAGTCTGGAGTCCATGATAATTTGAAATTCTGTTCTGTGTTTTCCCCCTTTTGATCGGGATTCTTCTGTAGAATCTTTAACCAAAAATGTTCAGTATTAGTGGCCAGACACCATCCAGTTCTGGTCTCATGCCAAAGGAGGAGTTGTTCATGGAGGTGATTAGCCACACATAGAATGTACATTTGAATACATATTAATAAGTACATATATATATATTAGATATGGATAATTGATGGGAGGCAGTGGTGGTTCAGTGGTGGCATTCTCACCTTCCGTACAGGAGACCTAAGTTCATTCCTGGTTAGTGCACCTGTAGGAGGAAAGGCCTGGTGATTTACTTCCAAAAAAATCAATCACTGAAAACCCTATGGGTCAAAATACGACTGTTGTGCATGGGGTCGCCATGAGTCAGGCTGACTTGAGAGCAGCTAATAACACGTATAATCAAAATTATTATTTTATTTTTTTACTTATAGGGATACACATCACAAAAGCTTGGAGGCCAGTGATTTAAAGGACAGGAACCGTAGAAAAGGTTGAGCAGAAATAAATGGACCCTTCCCCCACCAAATCTATAGCCTGCCCAAGCCAGTTCCCCTGACCAAAGACAGAGATAAAACTCAGGGGGTTCAGGAGTTGTAATAAATGATAGCTGTGTAAAGAACTTCTTCTGTTTATTATGCTGTACAGAGAAGACACGTTTACACAGTTTATCTATTTTCTCATTCATACGTGAACTGCTTCCTCTTTACAATAACTCTTAGGGTCTTTTACAAGACAGAGAAAGTTCTTCATCAGAGTATCAACACAGTGCACAGGGCAGCTCCTCTCCCACAGACTAGGTTGCTCCTAAAACCATGTGGACCCTAAATGACAATTAGGAACCCAGGGCTGTGGTGTAGCTATGCTCACAGGAGACCCTCAGGCCATCACATACCTGCCGTTGAATGACTACTGTACATCACAAAGCACAGCCCCTTTGGTTTCATTCACAATATGTGCATGGTTAATGGGGCAGTGGTGGCTCAATGGTAGAATTCTCGCTTTCCATGCGGGAGACTTGGGTTCAATACCCGTCCAATGCACCTCATGTGCAGCCACCACCCATCTGTGGTGGCTTGTGTGTTGCTATGATGTTGAACAGGTTTCCTGCAGTTTTAGCTTTCGGATTAAGACAGAAAGGCCTGGTGATCTACTTCTGGAAAACCGTATGGATCACAACGGTCTGATCTGCAACTGAGCGTGGTAATGGCACAGGACCGGGCAGTATTTCATTCCGTTGTGCACGGAGTTGCCATGAATTGGGGGCCTAGTCTGCAGTAACTAACAACAATGTGCATGGTTTAGCTCTTTCTAGAACTAAATGGTTCCTACTGCTTCAGTGGTGTTACTAGAGTTAATGTCACCCAGTGCAGTAACTCATGGTGTCACACTCCCCCACGGACGGGGCCAGCCCCACCCCACCTCTGCACAGGGCTGAGTGCCAAGGTGTGCCCTGCCCCTCCCAGCCCGCCCCCACCACAGATCCCTGCAGCGCCGTCCCTCTCCCACTGGCCAAGGGGGAGACCCTCCTCTTCACCCAATGGTGGGTGCCGCGGCCCCATGGCCCTGCTGCCCATATCCTGACTGGCAAGTGATGTGGGGGGCAGTGGTGGTGAGTTACTGCACTGGGTGACACCAACCCTCGTGACTGGTGGGTGATGGGGGGTGACATGTTATCACACTAGGTGACAGGTGACCTCACCCCTAGTGACACCGTTGCCTTAGCAACCCCTCCCCTGGTGGTGCTGGCCTGCCTGCTGCTGCCACATGCCACTGTGGACCCTGGGGTCATTTTGGTGTCACGCCCTCTGACAGTGTCAGAGGGTGCAGTCTGTACGCCCCACACCCCCTAGTGAAGGCACTGTACCTCTTATTTCACTTGTTTTCTTTTTCCAGCTACAAGTGTGTAGATTTATTCATCAGGGCAGAAGGGTGTGGGTGGTAAAAAAAGGGTGGGGTGGGGAGGGAAGCTTTTGACCCATTTTGTCTTGAAATTCCTAGCTGGATTGGCCAGGCTTTGTGGGCTCTTTGCCATGCAGATCCATCCCATCCTCCAGGTGCCAGCCTCTCCAGAGAGCCAGCAAGGTAGTAGACACTCTTTTGGGGTGAGTGTGGCCTGGGGCGCTGTCTACATCACCGTCCTACGATACCCACAACTATAGTACTACTGAGCTTCCCGCCTGGGGCACGGGGCTGTCAGCAAAAGGCAGCTTATTAAGATGTGTAGAAAAGGAAGAAGTGAGTTCCTGGAGGAGGATCTGGGACTTGGGAGCAGGGCTGTCTCCACGCCTCTGGCCAAGGATGCTGTACCAGTTTCCTTTGGCCTGACATCTGGGCTCCGCTCCCTGTCTACCCCTGCCTACCCCTGCAGGCCCCGCCCATTGGCGTGGGTTGGAGGTGGAGCCGTGGCCCCTCTGCATTTGATTCTATGGGAACCTGATTAATTTTCTGCCCATCTCTGTTTGGCCACGGACCCGAGTGTCCCCATTGAGGTGTTCAGCCCCGTGTTGGGGAGATTGGGCCTGGGAATGGACTGCTTGGAGGTAGATGACTCTCATGCCCAGTCACTGGTCTGCTGCCCTTGGGTGGCCCCCACTACTTCCTGCTCAAGTTCTTCTCTGGACCACACGGGGCCACCTTTGATGTAAACCATTGATTGAGCCTCTAATACCACCACTACTAACCTCGGGGAGGGTCAGCCCGGTGATCTCTGGGCAAGTCCCATCCGAATCCTTTCTTCTCTCTGCCTCATCACAAATCAAACATTTAAGGGGTGGCTTTCCCCGAGACTTCCTGTGTGTACACACGTGTGTGTGTATGTGTGTAGGGAAGGGATGTGCGCAGGGTGGTGGAAGGAAAGGTGAAAGGGAGCTAACATTTAAGAGCTACTGTGTGCTATGGCTGCTAACCAAAAGGTTGGCAGTTCAAATCCACCAGCTGCTCCTTGGAAACCCATGAAACAGTTCTACTCTGTCCTATAGAGTCGCTAGGAGTCTGAATCGACTCGATGGCAATGGGTTTGGTTTTTTTTACTATGTGTTAGACACTGATGGGAGTTTTAAACAAACCTTAACTACCAACACTGATTCTCCTCTGTGGGGCTATTTCTAAGCTGGCAGTGGCTTCTTCTTTAATAAATTTCTTTCCGTTCTGTATGCATAATAACAACGCCTCCACTGTACATAGCACCTTTCACGTTTCAAAATACTTTTCTGCCTGTGGCCTGTAATCTTCACAACAACCTCATCTGACAGAGGAGGAAACTGAGGCAGAGACAAGGCTTAAGTTGTGCTACTAGTTATAGGCTGAGCTGGGAGCGCCTGCTGTCTGCACTACCTGAAATGCTGGGCTGATCCTTCCTGGAACAGCCTGGTGGCTGCAAGGGCCCAGCTATCCTCAGGTGAGCTTTTGAGTTCCTTGAAGACAGAGACCAGGCCTTCTCTTTCTTCCCTTCTGTCCACAGTGCCCAATGCTGGGTATACAGCAAGTGCCCAATAACTGCTGGTCTCTCATGTGCTTATCAGGGATCCCTCAGATTTCATCAGAAGGTGACCCTCGGGCTTAGCCTTCGTGAATCTGAGAGGCCATCCTCCAAAATCCTAGCTGAGTGGATTAATGAAACCTCCCCAAATAGTCAGCAAGGCGTCGAGTGCGCACTCGGTTGCTGCGCCAGACCTGGGGACAGCTGTCCTGGAGACACGCACTGTCGTGCTGGGGCAGGTGGGACAAGGTGGAGGGAAGCTCACTCGCTCCTCTCCCCCCACCACCCCTCCTCGCCGAAGGAGCTGATAAGGACAATAACACTGTAGTGCGTGTGTGCAGCCTTCAGCTGGCCATGAGGTTGCCCCATCCTCACAGCTCTGCTCACTGCAGCTTGGGCAGGGCAGGGATTACTCTCCTAGGTTTTGATGGAGACACTGCTCCTTGCTCAAGCTCACATGTTGGGAATGCCTTCCAGTCTTCCGTGGGGCCATGCTAAAGAGCAACTCATCCATCAATCCTCAGAGAAATTAGCAGCAGCCCGGGTGGCATTGATCTCTGGCTGCTCCCCACCCACTCGGGCAATTTGTGACTGGCGTTCCACCGAGATGGAAGTCCGCAGCGTACCCATTGAGGTCTCTGTCTGGATGGGCTCTGGCTCACAGCCCACTTTCTGGCACACTCTCCGGTACACCTCCCATGACTTCTTCCGGAAGCGCTTGCCCACCATCACATACACCAGTGGGTTGAGGCAGCTGTTGATGTAGGCCACGTAGGAGCTGATCTGCGTGAAGACGTCATTCCAGCAGCTGGTTAAGATGTCGAGGCGGAGGAGGGTGTCAAGGAAGGTGCTGATCTGGAAGGGCAGCCAGCAGATGACAAACAGCAGCAGCACGGCCAGGACCAGCAACGTGGCCTTCCTCTCTGTCTGGATCTCCTTGAACTTCTGCATCTCGTTGTTGCACAGCACCTGTATGATCCGCACTGTGCAGAAGGTGATGATGATCAGGGGCAGCAGGAAGCCCACGAAGTTCAGGAGGACATTGGTGAACACCTGCCAGGTGGTGGACGGGTAGCTGATGATGCAGGCGGTGACATTGTGGCCCTCATCATTATACTCCTCCATGGTTCGGAACACCAGCATGGGTGAGCTCAGCAGAAGGGCGCACCCCCATACCACCAAGCTGTAGAGTTTAGCCCAGTGCACCCCACGCATACGGCCCATGGACATGGTTTTTACTAGGGCCAGGTAGCGGTCAATGCTCACCAGCATCAGGAAACAGATGCTGCTGTACAAATTCATGTAGCTCACTGTGTTCACCACGCGGCAAAGGACCTCCCCAAAGAGCCAGTTGAAGTTGTTGGCCACAGTGATGGCCCAGAAGGGCAGCCCGCAGGCCAGGATCAGGTCTGCCACCGCCAGGTTGCCCAGGTAGATCTCCGCCACTGTGCAGTTGCTCTTATGCAGGCAGAAGACGCTGAGGACAAAGATGTTCTCGAGCACGGCCAGTATGAAGATGACCCAGAGGAAGGGGGCCTGGATGGTGTTGAGCCAGTTCCACCACTCTATGGAGGGGCAGTCTGGGCTCTGGGGAAGGGTCATGTTAAGAGCAGGCTCGAGGACTTGAGAGGTGATGTTGAGCATCTCGGCACTGAAAGAAAGTGGTAAAGAGGCTGTTACACCTCAAGGTCACAAGACGAAGGAGGAACCATTGGTACAGAAGGAGAGGGGGAATTAGGAGGCATATCTGCTCAACCTAAAGGTTGGCAGTTCCAACCCATCCAGCAGCTCTGCAGAAGAAAGGCTTGGTGGTCTGCTTCCATAAAAGTTATAGCCAACAAAACTCTATGGAGCAGTTCTACTCTGTAATATACGGGGTTGCCGTGAGTCAGAATCAACTTGATGGCAACAGGGTTTTTTTTTTTTTCTTGTGATCTGTTTAGCAAAAAGCTTCCAGAAGGTGAAGTCAGGAGTGGAACTCAGGCCCTTTTCTGGAGCCCCACATTCAGAGCTGCATGTCCCAGCACATCTGACTCCCTGCTCCTTGAGCCTAAACTGAGACCTCAAGTTCTTTGCCTCCTGGCTCCACTGGCCTGTTTCCTTGGCTGGAGTCCATCAACAGCGCTAACAATCACAAGTCTTGGAACCCTGGACTTCCCTGCAGCTTCCAGGAAAGGTGATTATACTGCACATTCCTTTCTTATCACATGGGCCCCTCCCAAAGGAGCTGGTCGTCCATTAGCCAAAAAGCCTGGCCATGGAAGAGTAATTTATTAAAGAGAAAAATGAGATCATGCCAGACAGGGAGGTTCCTGCCTGGTCCCAGGGTCACGGCCCATCTACCACACATTATCTCCTTAGAAAACATGCCTCTTCTGGCAAAGGGCAGCATCGTGCTTCCAAACCCTTCATCTGGGAAGTGTTGATGATCAGAGCGGGCGTGGTGGAGAGGGAAGGCTAAGTCTTTGGAGCCAGGCAGTTCTCCTGGGTTCAAATCCTGGGTCTTTCATTCATAAGCTGTGTGACTTGGGGAAATTACTTAACCTCTCTGAACCTCGATGGCCTACCTTGTAAAATGAGAATGACAAAAACTACTTTCCAGGGTTGTGGTTGGACTTGAGGCAATGTACAAGAAGCCCCAGGAATGACACTTGGTTCAATAAACATTAGGTGCTATCTTGATAATTATCTATTTTTGTGAACCTATTAACGCAAGAGATATCAAACTCCAGTGTTTCTTTTGCAAGTTCTTGCTCTGGTATCAGTGACCCCATCATTAATCCACTGGCTCCTCATTCCCTCTTGGGCACAAGCACAGGATACCCTACTTTCTATAAGAGTTACTGTTAAGACTAAGTCATCTCTACCCCCAGCAAAGAAGCATGGGGCATAGTGGAAAAAAGAGAAGTTGGACAGACATGTGTTCCAGTCCTAGTGGTGTGGTCTTGGGCTAACTGCTTGACTTCTCTAAACTTCCATTTGGTTTTCTTTGGAGTACTGCTTTATCTCCTCCTGACTCGCCTTGCAGGGCTGTTGTAAGTTTCAGATCAAAGATGGATGTGAAGATACACTGAAGAGCCTAAAGCACAACCCAGAGGGTTGGACTATTTGGGCACGTCCCCAGAGCCCAGTGGGGTGAGTGAGGGGAGGTAGAGGGGCTCTTCCGGGGAGGTCAATTGTTGGTGACAAAGTATGGGACAGGCTCTGCTGATAGCCTCTGTGGTTTCCCAGGAAAAGCTCTCTGCCTCCTACAGCCTCTGGCCAGCTTCCTGGAGCCATGCTGAGGACTTGTGATGGACTCTTTAATCAATGTATCTATCCTTTCAATGTTTCTTGAACATCTGCTCCATGTTGAGCTCTACGTTGAGTGTAGCGACACAGAGAGGGGTACCATGTGGCCCTGCCCTGTGGGAACTCCAACTGCAACTGCAGCCCAGCTTTGGGGAGGTAGAACGAGGGGTGTCTTAGGGTGGGTTCTCTACAGAAGCAAAACCAGTGAAGCGTATATATATATATATATATATAAAGATTTATCTCAAGGAAATGGCTCACACGGTTGTGGAGGCTGGCAAGTCCCAAGTCCGGGGGTTAGGTGTCAGGCTGGAGGCTTCTCCTGACTCACTTGGTTGCAGGAGCTGACAAATCCCAAATTGGCAGGTCAGATGACAGTCTGCTGGCCCATGCGGCTGAGGAGGCTGGTGAATCACAGAATCGGCAGGTCAGATGGCAGGCTGCTGGCTCAAGTCCCAAGAACCAGAGGTCAGATGATGACGAGTTGGATGCAGGATCCAGAGCAAGTTTTGCCAGAGCATCCATACATATTGGATGCAGGTCTCACCCTCAAGGAAACTTCCTTTACGTCAGATACTTGAGTAAGAGCATGACTTGAGTAAGGGTGTGACTTGAGTTACGCCCTTTAGTAACCTATGGAGCACAATTCTACTCTGACACACATGGGGTTACTGTGAGTTGGAATTGACTCAAGGGCAACTGGTTCCCAAGGTTACACAGTCAGAATTCAAACCCAGGGCTCTTCCTTCCCTACTGCATAGTGTTTATACCCCAGTGAAGGGATGATAAACACCCCAGAGATGAAGACACGTGGTAGTGAGCAAGAAAGAAATTGTGAGGAAGTATACAATGGGGAGCAGCCCTGGTGGCGTAGTGGTTAAGAGCTACGGTTGCTAACCAAAAGGCTGTCAGTTCAAATTCACCAGACACTCCTTGGAAACCCTATGGACAGTTCTACTCTGTCCAATAGGGTCTCTATGGGTTGGAATCGACTCGACGGCAATGGGTTTGGCTTTTGATTTTATACAATTGGGAGGGATCTGGAGAGAGAAGATGGGTGACTTATTTGAGAGGAAGGAGAAAGTTGGGGTGGATGAGATGACATGAGGAGGTGTTCCAGATCTAGGGAACAGCACCAGCAAAGGCAGAGGGGTAGGAGGTACTGGGTGAAGTTCAGGAGGGGGATCTTCTCATTTAGGCTGACCATAGGGCGTATGTGAGGAGTAATGCTGGGACAGAGCATGGAGAGCTTGAGTACCAGGAGAAGAATCGGCATTTAATCATGTGGGTGACTGGGAGCCATTGAAGGTACGTGACCAATGCATTATGTATTTAGAGGCTGTTCTATTCACTTTGTTTTGTTGCAACCTGAGACACATCCTACCCCACCTTCCTTGCCTCCTCTTCCCCTCCCCTAGAGAGATTGCTTGGGTGCTAGGGATGGTCCTGGAGCCAGGAAAAGATCAAACGGATGAGACCAGGGATGCCCAAGGAAGCCAGGCCTGGCAGGATCTTCCTCAGAGCCCTCCACAGGTAAGAGCTCCCCTGGATGCCCCTTGCTCTTGCCTTTGGCCCTCTTTTTTGCTCAGTGCCCCAGGCCTGGGAAGTTGCTTGTCATGGTCCAACTCACTAGAGACTGAAGCTAAAAAATAGCACCAGATTGTATTTGTTAATTCTCCAGCAGGATGGCACCCTGGCCCGTAGCTGGCTCTGCGGAGCCCTGGGATTGTCAGAAAGCAGCCTGATGAATACAGAATTGGGAATCAGAGTGCTCTATGGCTCTGGCTGAGATGGTCATCTGGTCAACTCCATAGGAGGCCGTACATGCCACAGGCGAAGAGACTGGGCTGGGCCTCTCTCGTCTGTATCTTGCCAACACTGGTGCCCTCAGGGTTTGCCCTGCCATTCCTCTGCCTCCATTTCAGACAATTCCCCCTGAATTCTCTCCTTAGCATGTACTGGCCGTCCATCAGAAGTCAGCAACGTGTTAGAGACGTTCTGTCTCTCAGGGTGACCTTGCACATCCCTGTCTGATCCCCTGAGTATGGACTTGAGGGATTAACTCTCTTACCTTCATGTCCATGTTCATCCAGGGTTGCTCACATAAGACCACCAGGAAAGCTTCCTCCCACCTCCCACCCCTGAGCCCCACAGAACAATCCACTCCCTCTCCTGACAGGAGATTTGAACACTGGCCTCTCAAGCCCTTACAGTTTTTGTCTTTGGGTTTAACGTTACCTGTTCCTTCGATGCTGCCCAGGAGATGAGGATCCAGCTCCCTCAACCCCGAGCCACGCTTTCCTGGACATTATCCAGGTTGCCTGTGCCCCCGACAGGTAGTAAATGGAGGCATCTTTTCGACTCACCTAAAGGGGGCCGTGGTGGGCTCCGAGTCCTCATGAAAGAACAGGAACATGGGTCTCTTCCAGGCAGAGAATATTTGGATTCAGAGCAGACGGGAAGTGCAGCCCGCCTGGGCTAACTGAAGGAGAAAAGGTGGTTAGATGGTGGCTGGAGGCCTCAAACACATGTATTCTCTGCTCTGGAAGGGAAATGGGTCTGCTGAACTGCTTTTTCCTTCAGTCATTTCCTTGTTGTAGTTGCTGTCAAGTCGATTCCGACTCATGGCGACCCAGTGTGTGCAGAGTAGAACTGCTCTATAGGGTTTTCAAGGCTGTGGCCTTTTGGAAGCAGATTGCCAGGACTGTCTTCTGAAGTGCCTCTGCTTGGGTTCGAGCCACCAACCTTTTGGCTAACAGTTGAGTGCTTAACCTTTTGTGATACCCAGGGACTCTGTCATTCCCTTAACAAATAGTTGTTAAGCCCCTGCTACGTCCTGTGTGCTAGGGACATAATGGTGAGAACAGAGACAGCGTCTGTCCTCCAGGAGCGTACAGGCTAATGGAGAAGCCAGACATCACTCACATAGTCACTAAGCAATTGCAACCTGGTTTAAGTGCCGGGAAGTAAAAGGAAAAGTCTCGTGACAGCATATACATGGTGTCCTAAGCAGTATGGGGGTGGGAGGTGGATATTTATGATGAGATCTGAGTGGGAATAAACTGGGTGAAAGGATGGGGTGGAGAGGAGGATGTTGGGCAGCAGGAACAGCAGGTGCAAAGGCCCTGAGGCAGGAAGAAGCTTCGTGTGAATGGGTGCTAGGCCCCGGTGGCTGCTGGGGGAGACGCATGGTGGCAGGGCAGAGTGAAAGCAGGGAGAGCAGTCAGCAGGCGCTGCCCGTTAGTCTAGACCCGGGATGGTGCAGACTGAGAGCGTAGGTTCCAGGGCTGTTTACAGTGTAAATTGGACATGCCTGGTGCAAGACTGGACGTGGAGGGATGGGAACAATGGGGAGGAGGTATGAAGAATGACCCCTAGGAACTTCTGTTTACTGAGAAGGGGAGAAAAGGTGGGGCTGGTTTGGAAGGAAAGATCATGAGTTTAGACTTGAACCTGTTATGTTTGAGGTGTTTTTGGGACTTCCAAGTGGGGCTGTGGAGTGGCTGGTGGGTCCAGCGTCAGTCTGGAGCTCAGGGAGAGGTCAGGGCTGGAGGACAGGCTCGGTCCTGGTGTGATGAAGCAAATTAGGCACGAGGTATCCAGGGGCTTTGAGCCTAACAAAGGAGGAAAAAAACAGGTACAGACTTACGACATATTCCAGTTACGAGGACCATCCTTTCTTCGTATGTCTTATTGTTAGTAATATATACTACACACAGCGTTGCAGTGCTCACTTTGCTGATGTTATCATTCTCAGACGTTCACTTGCAGATGTTCAATGTTACGATTTACTGATCAAAACACTGCCGTGTGACAGGCCATGGCCTGCTCTGCAATGAAGTCTGTGTCGGTGTGGGTGTAGGGAGTCGGAACGGATAGGAAGTTGGGCAATGTTCAATTCTAATGACATAGGACAGCTGAATTGTGCACGAGCCCGACAGCCGTTCCGACTCCGACTTCATTGTTACGACACTGACGCTGACAGATAAAGATTGAATTTACAAAGATACTGATAATAAAAGGCAATAATACTGAAAACTAAAAAAAAGAGGTACTCGACTTACGATGAAGCCGTTGGAATGAAACCCCGTCGGAAGTCGGTGACTACCTATACTTCCAACAATTCGTGGTGGTTACTGCTACCGATGCTCTCACGTTCTGAGTCCAGGGCCACACCTGAGCCCCTGGTGAAAGGTGCAAACCCTTCTGCCAGGTGGGGCTTCCACGGACCAGCCCTTCTCTATCTTTCTTCACCCTCAACTTCACTCTCACCCAGCGAGGTGGCTAGGAGCCCTGTGTTTGCCATGCAGACGGGGAAATAAGATGCAGAGAGGGGAGGTGACTTGTTCAAATCACATCGTTGGGAAAATCTGGAGGCGAGACTTAACTTCCTGTCTTCTGGTACTAAGCCCTCCGCTCTCTCCATGTCTTAAGTGACCTCTCACTCCTGCCCAGGAAGGATCAGAAGGCACCTGTGGTGCATGCGTGTGTACGTGCGTGTGTGTGTGTGTGTGTGTGTGTGTGGGTGTGTGCACTCGGGCGAAGCCACATATCTGCCTTCCTCAACCTGAGCCACTCCTCAGCCAGAGGAATTGCAGCACTGGGTACCGGGGCTTCAGAAATCCAGCTCCCCTATTGCTGTTATGGGAGATGGAGCGAAACCAGCAGATAGTTCAGGGAATCTGAACATATTAGGAAAAAGAAAAGCAAACAAAGCAGAAGACACTCAGCACCTGGGGAAGGTTTGCATGAGCCCCTTGGAAGGGCTGAGAGCAGGGCTGGGAGCTTGCGGGGAAGTGACCAGCAGCAAAGAAGGAGGAGCTTTGGGGAAGGGAGGACCTCACAGTTCTCCTTTCTGAGGGGCCTTCCTGGGCCCATGGAAGGGAAGTTGGGCTGTGAATCAGAAGTCAGGTGTTTAAATCATTTATTTAAAGCAGTTTGTTGTGGCGGTGGTGGTGATTGTTAGCTGCCATTGAGTGGACCCCCAACTCATGGGGACCCTATGTGTGACAGACTAGAACTGCTCCATAAGGTTTTCTTGGCTGTAATCTTTACAGAAGCAGATCGCCCGGCCTTTCTTCCATGGAGCTGCTAGGTGGGATCGAATTGCCAACCCTTAGGTTAGCACCTGATTGCAAACCGCTTGGGCCACCCAGGCTCATTAAAAGCAAATATTAACTATCTATTATGTGCTGAAGAAGCCCTGGTGGCGCAGTAGTTAAGCATTTGGCTGCTGCTGAAATGTCGGCGGTTTGAATCCACCAGCTGCTCTGTGGGAGAAAGATGTGGCAGTCTGCTTCTGTAAAGATTACAGCCTTGGAAACCCTATGGGGCAGTTCTACCCTGTCCTATCGGGGCGCTATGAGTTGGAGTTTGACTCGATCGCAGTGGGTATTATGGGCCGGGGTGGGGGAGGAGAGCACGGACAAGTGTCTCTGGGGACCTCACTCAGCCTCCCGGCAGGGCCTCCCACTCCACGAGTGCAGGTAAGTCAGGGCCTCCTGGGTCATGTTTCCTCCCTGCCCTCCGCTATGGGTCTACCTGTTTAGGAGTCCCCGGATCTGGCCGAATCAGTCCAGTCGGATCCTAATTGCTTGCTAATAGCTGTAAACATTGCTCACATTTTCAAAACACAGGTGAGGGGTTCTCCCGCCCAGCCTTCTGGGACGGCTTTGGTCTCCAGATGTCTGGGGAGCAGGGGTTTGAGGACATAGGAGAGTTTAGGAGCCTGAAGTAGACTTGTCGCTTCTAGCCATGGCTTTCGAGATGGGCCTGGGTGGACCCCGGGCTGCACAGCTGACGTGGGGCAGTCACTGACTCCAGGCCACTCTCCCGCTTCTCCTCCCTGCCCTCTGCCTCAGGAGCCGACCCCTGGGGGCCACAGGAGCACACCACTGGGTTCTTGACCAGTGGAGGCACCAGCAGGAGAGCGGGGTCGGGGGGAGGGAGGGAGGGATATTGGCTCTGCTCTCCCAGCTCCCTCATTGTGGGGACTCCAGGAGCTGGCTGTGCTGGCCCAAAGTTCACAGCTCTTATTGGGGGCCCTTGTCTCCTCATTCTAGTGACTGCCACCTCCTCTTGCCCTTTCAGGCCTGGGGCCAGGGGTGGGTGGGGCAAATGCCTTTGCTGTATTAGCTCTGGGTGCTGCACGCTACCTTGAAGTCTGTTATTGTCAGCTGCCGGCCACTTGGCCCCTGACCCATGGCCACTGCATGCGCAATGGGATCGGGCCCTCGTGACCCACAGGCCTTTCTTGAGCTGGTTTTTGGAAATAGATCCCTCGGCCTTTTTTTCCGGTCCATCTTAGTCTGGAGGCTCCGCTAAAACCTGTTCAGCATCATAGCAACACGCAAGCCTCCACTGGCACACAGGCGCATCGACTGGGAAGGGAACCGGGTCTCTTGCAGGGAAGGTGAGAATTCTGCCGCTGAACCACGGCCGGCCCCCCTCCCCTGCTCCCCGTGTAGTTTCTCCCACTGCCGTTGAGGTTGAGTCCATTCCGACTCATAGCCTTGTAGTTTACACCTCTGTAAACAGCCACAGTGTTTTCAATCAGCTCAGATGCATGTGAAAGCTGACCAAGGAATAAGGAAGCCCGAAGAAGAATTGACGGCTTTGAATTATGGTGTTGGAGAAGAACATCGAATATCCCATGGACTGCCAGAAGAACAAACAAATCTGTCTTGGAAGAAGTACAGCCGGAGTGCTCCTTAGAAGCGAGGATTGCAAGACTTCATCTCACGTACTTTGGGTATGTTATCAGGAGGGACCAGTCCCTGGAGAAGGACATTATGCTTGGTAAAATAGAGGGTCAGTGAAAAACAGGAAAACCCTCGATGAGATGGATTGACACAGTGACTGCAACAACGGGCTCAAGCATAACGATGATCGTGAGGATGGAGCAGGATCGGCAGTGTTTCGTTCTGGTGTACATCGGGTTGCTATGAGTCGGAACCGGCTCAATGGCACCTAACAACAAACAGCCTCTATTTAAATTCTCCTCTTATTACTCAGTTTGGATGCTCTTTCTTTCCGGGACCCTGGCTAATATATCCTGGGATTATGGAAGTCAGATGTCAGAAGACTATTTAAAGAAATGAGGGGAGATAGTGGGGGATAGTGGGCACGTTGGCTGGGGGGTAGTGGTGGTCAGGAGTGGGTTCGAGCTACTCTCTGTGTGACCTTGTGCAAGTCCCTTTACCTCCCCGGGCCTTGTTTTCCTCATTTACAGACCAGGGGTGGCCATCTGGCCCCCACGCCGCTCACAGACATGCTTTTCATGGGGGATGACTGTGCAGCTGGGCTTTCCCCTCATTTTTCAAACGGATGCTTCAGTGGGAACGTCCAGCGTTCTGATTCACTTGTACTCTCTCGCCTCAGAATTTGGTCCAAGAAGACTTACTGTAAACATAGTTCCCTGTATTTAATCATATA